TCTGGTTAGTATTTTCTTATTTCTTCTTATCTTCACTCTGCTGACCTCTCACATGACCGGACAAGCCGTTGACCCTTCGTTATATCCCGCATCTTCCACGCTCAACGTTATATCCCTTTTGCAGATATATTTCGCATAAAATCTCCCAACCTCAGGCAACGTGACAGAAAAAAAAAGATCCTGTGTATTGTTTACATTTTATTTAATCAACTTGATGTCTATCTATCTATCTATCTATCCGTTCGTATGTTTTGTGTGAAATCAAATACCTTTTTTGGTCTTTGATTCAAAAGAAGTTGAAGAAAGTCGGGGTTAATAACACTACAGGACTGCAAATAACAAATAACATACAACACTGCAAATAAAGAAGCTAAAGAGGGATTGGTGCAACTTGCAACAAGGCAACGACCTTTACTTCTAATGACTCCCTGACCTGGAAGACGCCTCTGCACTCTGGCGTAGGAGGCGGCTGCGAGAAACTTTTTTTGTGCATATCAAGGAAGTAGGAGACGAACCACACACACACACACCACCCACACTCTCTCCTCTCTCACACAAACCACACTCTCTCTTTCTCTCTCTCTCTCACCCACAACCCACACACACCACACACATACACCACACACACTCTCTCTCTCTCTCTCCTCTCTCTCATCCACACACACCACACCACACACCACACACACACACACACACACCACACACACAACACACCACACACACACACACAACCAGCACACACAGCACACACAGTCCATATATATAACATACATATACAAATATACTATACATATATATATATAGTATTATATATAATATATATATATAGTATATATAACATATATATAATATGTAATTAATAGTTATACATATATATAATATATATATATGATATATATATATTATATATACTATGCATGTACATATATATATCAGAACAGGATGCATCCTGACGGAAATTCAAGCAAGGGAAAATAATATCAAGAAAGGAATACAAAATGTAATGATAAAATGTTTTTCATCCTTTTTCCAGACCAACTTTTATGAAACATTACACACCTGTAACATCTCGCAATACTGGTAATTAAAACTTGTTGCCCAATTTGGTCAATCACAGATGGGAAAACCGTTTGAATTCACCTTTCCTTGGCGTCCGCGTGGCTCGCCGCCCCAGGAGAGGGATCCTGGCACCGTGGCACCCCCAGGGCGATCAATGGGGGTGGTGGGGGAGGAAATGCCCCAGCACACGCAAAAGCAACAGTCCGCGCTATTGCTCACACGCCACCGCACCCACGCGCACACACCCACACGCAAACACACACACACCACACACACACCACCACCACACACACAACACACACACACGCAGTTATATATATATATAGCTCACCCACACACACACACCACATAGCACACACACACACCACACACACACACCACACAACATATATTAATTATATATATATATATAATTATATATATATAATTATAATATATATAGATATATAATAGAATATATATATGGGGGAAAAGCCCCTCACTCACCTCCGATGCACCAGGTGGATTAGGGAGGGAGGGTGAGGGAGTGCCCCCGGGTTGACTTTCCTCGGGTTTCCTTCATCGTTGCCTTAGGGAGCTTCCCAGGGGGATTGGTCCAGGGGGAGGAGAAGTGGGGTTCATAGGTACTGTTGTTTTTGTTGTTGTTGTTGGTGGTGGTGTTGGTGTTGATGTTGTCGTTTTGTTGTTGTTGTTGTTGCTGTTGTAGTTGTTGTTGTTGTTGTTGTAGTTGTAATTGTTGTTGTTGTCGTTGTAGTTGTAATGGTTGTTGTTATTGTTGTTGCTGTACTGTAGTTGTAATGCTGTTGTAGTTTGTGTGGCTGTAGGTGTAGTTGTTGATGTTGATACCTGATGATGTTAAATGTTGATATTGTTGGTGTTGTTGTTGATTGTTGTTAATGTTAAAGTTAAGGTTAATTTTCATTATTATCGTGTTAATGTTAATGCCAATGTCCATGTTGGCAATGGTGTTATTGCTAACGTAAAAGTAGATGATGATGTGATGATGATGATGATGATGTGAATGATGACGATAACGATGATAAACAATGATGATGGATGATGATGATGATGATGATGATGATGATGATGATGATGATGATGGATGATGGATGATATGATGTGATGATGATGATGATGATGATGATGATGATGATGATGATGATGATGATAACGATGATAACAATGATGATATGATGATGATGATGATGATGATGAAGATGATGATGATGATACGATGATGATGATGATGTGATGATGATGATGATGATGATGATGTGTGATGATGATGACGATGATGAATGATGATTGATGATGATGATGACTGATGATTGATGATGATGATGATGATGGAATGAGATGACGACGACGATGACCATGACGACGAGGACGATGATGACCATAACGATGACGTTCTCGTTGTTGTTGGTGATGCTGCTATTTTTTAAAATTTTCTCCATAATCACCATTTTCTTTCCCATTTCTTATCTTTTATCGATTTCTTTAGACGTTCGATCTCCTTGTTCTTCCTTCCTTCTCCCCCCGCCCCCCGCTCCCGCCCTCCCCCTTCCTCCCCTCCCCCTTTCGCCCACACCCCTCCCTCCCCCCATCCCCTTTCTCCCCCAACCGCCTCCCCTCCCCCTTCCGCCCCCTCCCTCCCCATCCCCCCCATTTTGAGAAGTTTCCAGTACCTCTAAGAAGGGAATTTAATTAGTGTGAGGACGTGTTTACAACTAAGACGAGAAATATATACATGGTAGTTTTCCCTCCATTATTTCTTTTTCTTTTACTGTTTCTTTCTTTCTTTTTTTTCTTTTTTTTTGGTTTTTTTCTTCCTTTTTTTCGCCTAAAAAATTCCTTTTCGTTGAATACCAATTTAGCCGTACATGTATATCCTCTTTCGAAAGGTTGGAAAGTAACATAAGCGGTCTCTTCTTTTTTGCGAAACTCCTTCTGCAAGCCTTTGCTTGTTCACTTCCTCTCTTTTTGATCTCTCTCTCTTCTCTCTTTTAAGTTCATTTCTCTTTTCTGTTTTTTTTTTCTACGTGGTTCTCTCTATCACTTTCTTTTTCTTTCTTTCTTCTCGTGTCTCTCCTCTGTCTATTCTTTTCGTTTTCTTCCTTTCTTTTTTTCTCTCTCTCCCTCCTCCTTCCCTCCCTTCTCTACCTCCGTCTCTCCCTCCATCTTCCTCCTCCTCCTTCCTCCTTCTCTCCTTCCTACTCCCCTCCCTCTCTCTTCATAGTCATACTTTTTCCCTCTCCCTCATCTTCTCTTCGTCAACCTCCTCCTCAATATTCTTGTTTTTTCTATATCTCTCACTTCTACTTCAGTCTTCACTTCACTCCCACCTTCACCTCATTACTCACTTCCATCACCTCCACCTCCATTCCTTTTCCTCTCCGCCTCCACCTCCACCTCCACCTCCGCCTCCTCCACCTCCAACTGCACCACCACCACCTCCCTCTCCCCCTCAACTCCTCACTCCCCTCCCCTCCACCAACCTCCCTTCTCCCCCTCCAACTCCTCCACCCACCTCCCCCTCCACCACCTCCCTTCCCCTCCACCTTCACCTCCACCCCAATCCCCACCTCCATCCTCCATCTCCCTCTCCACCTCCACCTCCACCCACCTCCATCCCCACTCCACCTCCACCTCCCTCCACCTTCCCCCCCTCCCCCGCTCCTCCCCACCTCACCTACCCCATCCCCACCTTCCCTCCCCCACCTCCACCACCTCCACCCCTCCCCCTCCACCCCCCTTCCACCTCCACCCACTCCACTTCCTCCCCCTCCACCTCCTCTTCTCCAAGACCTCGGGAGCCCATCCGACCTGACACGCTATCCGGAACAGCCTAAAAGTGGGCGGGAAGGCGGAGGTCGCGTCGTGTACGGACCTCCAATAATTTGTCAGGCGGGGGCGGGGGCAGCGGTTGTCGAGCAGCAGCTGTGGATGTTATTATTTAAATTTCAGCTGCACGCCGGCAACGCTTCCGACTAGAAAATTAACGAAAATGAAATGCGCAATTTTTTTTTTTAACACTGACCGGGTTCTTTGTGTGTGCGAATTTCCGCCACGGCGAGGATTGCCCAATCAAAATGCTGTTGTGCGAGGGCCGGCGGGGAATTCCCTCTGCTTGGTTTGTTTTTTTACTCTTTCTGTTCTGTTCTGTGTCTGTCTATCCGTCTCTGTCTCTCTCCTTTCCTCTCTCTCCTCTATCTATCTATATCTCTTCGTTCTCTCTCTCTCTTTCTTTTCTTTTTCTTTTTTTCTTTTACTCTTTCTCTTTCTGCCCTTCCCCTCCTCCCTCTCCCACTCCCTCTCCCCTCTCCCTCCTCCCCCTCCTTCCCCTTCCCCTCCCTTCTCCCCTCACCTCCCCTTCCCTCCCCTCCCCTCTCTCCCTCCCCCTCCCCCTCCTCCCCATCCTTCCCCTCCATCCCCCCCTCTCCTCTCCACCCGAAACGCTTTCCCAACCGGCCATGTTCTCCACCTCCCCTTCCCCTCCCCTCCCCTCCCCTCCCCCTCCCTCTCCCTCCTCTCCCACTCCTCTCCATCTCCCTCTCCCCTCCTCCCCTCCACAGAAAAGCCTTTCCAACCGGTCATGTCCTCCTTCCTTCCGCCGCTGGCACTCCCCTTGACCCGGGCGGGGGAGGGCCAGAACGCGAGCCCGTGACGTCATCTCTCCGACCTTATCTCGGGAGGGAAAGCAAGTTGGTCTGCGGAGGCTGAGGGCGACCCCCGCAGGGCCGTCTCGAGTCCGGTTGACGAAACGCCGTCAATCCGGTTAACGAAACGCCGTCAATCCGGTTAACGAAACGACATAAATCCGGTTACCGAACCCGTCCTAAAATCCGGCAACAAAACGCGCCCTAAATCCGGCTAACAAAACATCCTAAATCCGGTTACCAAAACATCATAAATCCATTTAACAAAACAACCCTACTCACCCTCGAGGTAGAAGGAAGTGGTGTCGTTGTTGAGGTTGTCCATGAGGGGTTGAATGGTCTCCTTGGTGATGGTCTCGAGGACGTTGGCGCGGAGGTCGAGGTAGAAGATGTTGACGGTGGGCTTGAACACCTCGGGCCCCACGGCGAGCAGCTTGTTGTCCTGCGGCGGAGAGGGGGAGAGAGAGGGGGGGGTGGTAAAGCGTGGGAATTCAGGGCCGGTTTTTTTATCTGTTATGTCTGTCTATTTCGGTTTCTATTTGTTTCTGTCTATTCCGGTTTCTATCTATTTGTTTCTGTCTATTCCGGTTTCTATTGTTTCTGTCTATTTTTATTTGTTTTCTATCTGTTTGTTTCTGTTTGTTTCTATCTGTTTGTTGTGTCTATCTATCTGTTTCTATCTATTGTTGTTTCTATCTATTCCGTTTCTATCTGTTTCTATCTATTCCGGTTTCTATATGTTTCTGTCTATTCCGGATTCTATCTATTCGGCGTCCTTATGGTGTTTACGAGTGTTTAATCCTATTAATATTCTTGTATTGACATAACATATGAATCATTAAGAATCATTCTAACAACAGGTAGATTGGCATCGTCTTACCTGTAGGTTGAGCTGCAGAAGGTTGGCGAGACCGAAGAAGCTCTTTGGCGCTATGTACTTGAGGGAGTTCTCCTGCAGGTCCAAGACGCGGAGGGCCTGGAGGTCTTGGAAGGTCAGGTCGCCGATGACCTCGATGCGGTTCTTGTGGAGGTCAAGGCGCTCTAAGGCCCTCAGACCCTTGAAAGTGTCGGGGGTGATCACCTGACGAAGGAGAAGGACGGGGCGTGAATAACAACAGAAAGGAGAAAGAAAAGGAGAGAGAGAATAGTTTATACTCAAAGAAACATGACTCTTTTCTGATAAGGCTTAAGCTAAAACAAACGAAAATTAAGAAAAAGGTTTAAGGTATCGACAGGAAAAGAGAAAATTCTCTTTATTCAATGCATAGAAACATGACTTAAACGAAATAAAACGAAAAAATAAGAAAAAAAATATGAAACGTATAACCAGGTCATCCTCAACCCACCTGGATCTGGTTCGAGAAGAGCTCCAGCTCGACCAGGTTGTGCAGGCCCTGGAAAGCTCGGTCGTGCACGATGGTGATGTTGTTGCGGTCCATGTAGAGCTTGGTGATCTTGGGCAGGTCGACGAACACGTGGCGGTTGACCTCGGTGATGAAGTTCTCGCCGAGGGAGAGCGTGTCGAGGGACGGGAGGTGGGCGAAGGAGTTGCGAGCCAGGACCCCGATGGAGTTCCTGGCCAGGGAGATCTTGGACAGCGAGCTCGAGTTGCCGAAGCTGAAGGCGTTCACCGTCTTGAAGGTGGCGTACTGCACCTGCGGGAGGAAGGGGGCGAACGTGGTCACGCAAAGGAGGGGAATAACGTTGTCCTCATAATACCAAACACCCAAAAGAGGAATACAAACTATCGAACTAGATGATGAAACCAAAACAAAAAATATGCTGAAAAAAGGAAAAAGAAGAAGAAAAAAGAAAAAGAAAAATGAAAGAAGAAAAGAAAAGAAAAGAAGAAGAAAAAAAAGAAAAAAGAAAAAAGAAAAGAAGAAAGAAAGAAGAATTCCAGAAATCCAAGAGTGCCATAACGCCAAGAAACCCGCCCATCCCAGAAGCCCTCTTGTGGCACTAACCGGCCCGGCGTACCTCAAACATCTTGAAGTCTGGCAGGTGCTAGATGGCCACCGTCGGGAGAGAAAAAGAAGAAGAAAAAAAGAAAGAGAAAAGGAAAGAAGAAAAAGAAAAACAAAAAACAAAAAAGAAAAGGAAAAAACAAAAAAGAAAGAGAAGAAATCTAGAATCCAAGAGTGACACAACGCCAAGAAACCAGCCATCCCAGAAGCCCCCCTTCCCTCTCTCCCTCCCCCCCTCCCTCCCCTCCCCTCCCTCTCCCTCCCCCTTCCCCTCCCTCTTCCCCCCTCCCTCTCCCTCCCCCCCCCCTCCCTCCCTCCTCTCCCTCTCCCCCCTTTCCCTCTCCTCTCCCCCCCCCTTCCCTCCTCCCTCCCTCCCTCCCTCCCTCCCTCCTCCCTCCCTCCCTCCCTCCCTCCCTCCCTCCCTCTCCCTCTCTCCCTCCCCACGTACCTCAAACATCTCGAGATCCGGCAGGTGCTGGATGGCCACCGTCGGGATGTTCCTCTCTCCCTCCCCCCTTCCCTCCCTTCCCCTCCTCACTCTCCCTCTCCCTCCCCTCCCCTCCCTCCCTCCCTCCCTCCTCCCCCTCCCGCCCCAACGTACCTCAAACATCTCGAGATCCGGCAGGTGCTGGATGGCCACCGTCGGGATGGTCCTCTCTCCCTCCCCCTTCCCCCATTCCCTCCCTCCTTCCCTCCCCCCTTCCCCTCCCTTCCCCTTTCTCCCTCCTCCCCCTCCATCCCAACGTACCTCAAACATCTCGAGATCCGGCAGGTGCTGGATGGCCACCGTCGGGATGTTCCTCTCTCCCTCCCCCTTCCCACCTTCCCTCCCCCTCTCCCCTCCCTCCCCCTCCCCTCCTCCCTCCCCAACGTACCTCAAACATCTCGAGATCCGGCAGGTGCTGGATGGCCACCGTCGGGATGTTCCTCTCTCCCTCCCCCATTCCCTCCCTCCTCTCCCTCCCTCCCTCCCTCCTCCCCCTCTCCCTCTCCATCCCAACGTACCTCAAACATCTCGAGATCCGGCAGGTGCTGGATGGCACCGTCGGGATGTTCCTCTCTCCCTCCCCCCTTCCCCATTCCCTCCCTCCTCCCTCCTCTCCTTCCCCCTCCTTCCCTCCTTCCCTCCATCCCAACGTACCTCAAACATCTCGAGGTCCGGCAGGTGCTGGATGGCCACCGTCGGGAGAGTTTCCTCTTCTCCCTCCCCCCACCCTCTCCCTTCCCCCTTCCCCTCCTCCCTCTCCCCCCTCTCCCTCATCCCAACTACCTCAAACATCTCGAGATCCGGCAGGTGCTGGATGGCCCGTCGTCGGGATGTTCTTGAGGGTGCCGTCGGGGCGCAGGTGGAGGGTGAGTCGCTTGATCTTGGTCTGGGACGCGAATCCTTCCCAGATGAACTCATTCTCGGACGTGTCGTTGAAGATCCAGCAGTTGCCTTCTTCGGCCTGGAAGGAGAAGGTGGATTGATTAAAAAATGAAAATAGGAAAAAAAGATAAAAGAAATAAATAGGATTAATGAAAAATGAAAACAGGAAAGAAATGAGAAAAGGAGAAGGTGGATTAATTAAAAATGAAAAAAAGATAAAATAGATTTAAAAAAAGGATAATTGAAAAATGAAAACAGGAAAAAAATGAGACAAGGAGAAGGTGGATTAATTAAAAAATGAAAACAAGAGGAAAAATGATAAAATAAATAAAAAGATAAATGAAAAATTAAAACAGGAAAGAAATGAGACAAGGAGAAGGTGGATTGATAAGAAATGAAGAGAAAATGAAAAATGAGAGAAAAATGATAAAATAAATAAAAAGATAAATAAAAAATTAAAGGAAAGAAATGAGAAAGGTGGATAAGGTGGATTGATAAGAAATGAAAACAAGGGAAAAAATGATAAAATGAATTAAAAGATGAATAAAAAATGAAAATAGGAAAGAAATGAGACAAGGATAAGGTGGATTAATAAAAATGAAAATAGGAAAAAAAGATAAAAGAAATAAAAAAAGGATAAATAAAAAAATGAAAACGGGAAAAAATGACACAAGGTGGATTAATTAAAAATGAAAATAGGAAAAAAATGATAAAAGAAATAATAAAGAATAAATAAAAAATGAAAACAGAAAAGAAATGAGACAAGGAGAAGGTGGATTGATAAGAAATGAAAACAGAAATGATAAAAGAAATTAAAAAAGGATAAATGAAAAATGAAAACAGGAAACAAATGAGACAAGGAGAAGGTGGATTGATAAGAATTGAAAACAAGAGAAAAAATGATAAAAGAAATTTAAAAAAGGATAAATGAAAAGTGAAAACAGGAAAGAAATGAGACAAGGATAAGGTTGATTAATAAAAATGAAAAAAGGAAAAGAATATTTTAAAAATGAATAAAGAAAAGGATAAGGTGGATAAAATGATAAAAAACTAAGAAAAGATATGGTAGATTAATAGAAAATTTAAAACAGAAAAATTACGAACTTTTTGGGGAGAAATATTGGGAGATGCAACAGAATCAACAATAGATGAGGAAAAAGATACATCAATGAAAACCACTTCTTAAAACCACAAACACATAAACTCACCCATCATACCCCCTCCCCTCCCCCCTTCACCCCGCCTAATCACGACAAATAAACAAAACCTAATAAACGATAATAAACAAGGCAAAAACAAAAAATAATAATCAAACATAAACAAGAAAAAACAAATAAAACAAAGCCTAATAAACGAAAATAAACAAGAATAAAACATAATCGAAAATAAACAACACAAAAAGATAAGAAAAAAATAAACAAATAAAAACAAAAACAAATTCACAAATAACGAAAATAAACAAACCAAAAAAAAGAAACAAACGAAAATAACAAACGAAATAAAACTAAACAAAAACAAAAAACAAAACAAAAAAACTAACAAACGAATTATAATTATAAAAAGAAAAATAAATAAATAAATAAACGAAACTTAACCCCTCGTAAGACATATCCGAAGGCCAATCACCGACGTGGATTCCCGACGGCGTGCGCGTGCGTGAGCGCGCTGCGTCACTGATCACCCAAGTTTTACAATAAAGACACGACGACGGTTTGGCACGTGACGTCACGACCGAACTTTGACGTCTCTGCTTCCGTTTTTTTCTCTTTTCTTTTCTATTTTTAATTTTTATTTTTTCTGTTTTAATTTTTTTTTTTTTCTTTTTCCTTTTTTTTTTTTTTTTTTTTTTGATTGGTGATGAGGTAGAGAGGCCAATAAGACGCTCGTGATGAGGGAGGAGGAGGAATGAGGAGGGGGAGGGGGTGGGTGGGAAGGAGGAGGAGGGGGAGGAGGAGGGAAAAGAAGAAGGAGGAGGAGGAGGAGGGAAGAGAGGAAGGAGGAGGGAAAAGAGGAGGAGGAGGAGGAGCAGGGAAAAGAGGAGGAGGAGGAGGGAAAAGAGGAGGAGGAGGGGAAAAGAAGAGGAGGAGGGAAAAGAAGAGGAGGAGGAGGAGGAGGAGGGTGGGGAAGGAGGAGGAGTGAGGAGGGAAAGAAGATGGGTGGGAAGGGAGGAGAACTGAGGAGGGGGGTGGGGGGAGAAGGAAAAGAGAATGAAGAGAAAGGAGAAATGAGGAGGGAATGGGCATTGTGGAAAGGGAGGAGGAATGAGGTGGGAAGAGGGTGAGGAAAGGGTGGGATGAGGAGAGGGAGGGGGTGGTGGATGGAGAGTATCTATATAAGGAAGAAATACAAGATTGAAGATTAAAAAAAAATAATAATAATAAAAAAAAAAAAAAAAAAAAAAATCTGAATCGTGAATAAATAATGAGAAAAAAATGAGGAAGGAAGGATTACATACAAAAGACGATAAAAAGAAATGAGAGCATAAGAGAGTAATGAGGTGGACAATGGAACATCAACTTCCATAACGAGAAGAAGAGAACCAGCAGAAAATGGGAAAATAAAGTTTAAAATGAAGAAGAAATTTTATATATATTTTTTCTCTGTCTTCCTAGCCGTGTGTGTATTTAAGTATGTATGTGTGTATGTAATGTATGTATGTATGTATTTGAGTATGTATGTATGTATGTATGTATGTATGTATGTGTGTATGTATCTAAGTATTATGTATGTATGTATGTATGCGTGTATGTGTGTATGTATGTATGTATGTATGTATGTATGTATGTATGTATGTATGTATGTATGTATGTATGTATGTATGTATGTATGTATGTATGTGTGAATGATTGTATGTATGTATGTGTATGTATGTATGTATGTATGTATGTATGTATGTATGTATGTATGTATGTATGTATGTATGTATATATGTATTATGTATGTGTGCATGTATGTATGTATGTATGTATGTATATGTATGTATGTATGTATGTATGGAAGGATGGGTATTCGTGGGTGGAAGATAGATGGATGGATGGATGTGTTTGTGGGTGAGTGAGTGTGGATGATGGATGGATGGTGTTTGTGGATGGATGGATGGATGGATGGATGGATGGATGGATGGATGGATGGATGGATGGATGGATGGATGGGTGTTTATGGATGGATGGATGGATGGATGGATGGATGGATGGATGGATGGATGGACGGACGGATGGAAGGAAAGGAGGAATGATGGATGGATAGGTGGATGGAAGGAAGGATTGACGGACGGATAGGTGTGTGGGTGGGTGGGTGGATGAATGAGTGGATAGATGGACAGATTTATGTCTAGCTGTCTATGTATGTGTGTATATCCATGTACAGTATGTATCCCTGTCAGTCTGTCTATCTGTCTGTCTATCTGTATGTCTGTCTGAATGTCTGTTTGTCTGTCTGTCTATATCTGTTCGTCTGTTCATTCATCTCTTTCTATTGCTCTCTCTCTGTCTGTTTGTCTGTCTGTCTGTCTCTGTCTGTCTGTCTATATCTGTTCGACTGTCCATTCACCTTTTCATCTGTCTATCTATCTATCTATCGATCTATGCAATAACATGATCACGAATAAGAATACTGGGAATAAAGACAACAAGAAAAAAAAGAAAAAAAACCAGACAAAGGAAGAAAGAAAAAGAGAAAAGAAAATAACAAAGCATTCGCCAAGACAAAAGACGGAGACGATTTCAGTTGCTGGAAACCTGGAAAACGTTCGCTGGCGGAAACGTTTGACCGAGGGAGTATAAAACGTTCGCTGGCAGAAACGTTTGGCCGAGGGAATATAAAACGTTCGCTGGCGGAAACGTTTGACCGAGGAATTATGAAACGTTCGCTATAGGGAAACGTTTGCCCGAGGAAATATAAAACGTTCGCTGGGAAAACGTTTGCCCGAGGAAAGATAAAACGTTCGCTATAGGAAACGTTTGGCCGAGGGAAATAAAACGTGCTGGCTATAAACGAAAACGTTTGACCGAGGAAATAAAAAACGTTCGCTGGCGGAAACGTTTGACCGAGCGAATATAAAACGTTCGCTGGAGGAAACGTTTGACCGAGGAAATAAAAAACGTTCGCTGGCGGAAACATTTGACCGAGCGAATATAAAACGTTCGCTGGAGGAAACGTTTGACTGAGGAAGATAAAACGTTCGCTATAGGAAAACGTTTGGCCGAGGAAATATAAAACGTTCGCTATAGGAAAACGTTTGACCGAGGAAATGTAAAACGTTCGCTGGGAGAAACGTTTGACCGAGGAAATATAAAACGTTCGCTATAGGAAAACGTTTGCCCGAGGGAATATAAAACGTTCGCTGCGGAAACGTTTGGCCGAGGAAATATAAAACGTTCGCTGTCGGAAACGTTTGACCGAGGAAATAATAAACGTTCGCTGGGAGAAACGTTTGCCCGAGGGAATATAAAACGTTCGCTGGCGGAAACGTTTGACCGAGGGAATATAAAACGTTCGCTGGGAGAAACGTTTGACCGAGGAAATATAAAACGTTCGCTGGCGGAAACGTTTGACCGAGGGAATATAAAACGTTGGCTGATGGAACGTTTGACCGAGGGAATACAAAACGTTCGCTGCGGAACGTTTGACCGAGGAAAGATAAAACGTTCGCTGGGAGAAACGTTTGGCCGAGGAAATAAAAAACGTTCGCTATAGGAAAACGTTTGACCGAGGAAAGATAAAACGTTCGCTATAGGAAAACGTTTGACCGAGGGAATATAAAACGTTGGCTGGCGGAAACGTTTGACCGAGGAAAGATAAAAAACGTTTGGAGGAAAGATAAAAACGTTGGCTGGAAACGTTTTGACCGAGGGAATATAAAACGTTGGCTGGCGGAAACGTTTGACCGAGGAAAGATAAAACGTTCGCTGGGAGAAACGTTTGACGGAGGAAAGATAAAACGTTCGCTGGCGGAAACGTTTGACCGAGGGAAATATAAAACGTTGGCTGGCGGAAACGTTTGACGAGGAAAGATAAAACGTTCGCTGGCGGAACCGAGGGAATATAAAAGTTGGCTGGCGGAAACGTTTGACCGAGGAA